ATCCACAGTGCCAGGCCCGCCGGCCTTCTGCTTCTGGAACTCCAGGTAGAGAGTACCTGAATTTTCAACTGACAGTGCACATGTTTTGATTGACTCATGGGTCTGAACAAAGCACCACAAACACATGACTGAAACACTCATGGCAAAGCCAAGACACGACACTCGTGAATCCCCGGGTTCTCGTCGGAGACCCCGTGCAATGGAACATTGCTTGCCATGCACGCAAGCACTTTGTTCAGCCCGGACCGCGTCTCTAACATTGCAGTCACTCGGACCATTGCGGCACTGCTTTTCGCGCAGCCACCAAAAGTTGAGTGCATGGTCTTCACCCAAGCACTTTTGGACAGCATGGCTGGGCATATCTGGGACTTTAGAATGTTTTCTGAAATCTCGGCCCCATCCTCTCGCATCTTCACGGCCATGTTCAAGACACGGATGGCGTCGTCGGCCTTCAGCTTCTGCTGGCCTGCACAGGCACCCAAATGCATGGAAGGGAAATAATGATGACTTCAGCGACACCAATCACCAGACACTGGCCTGGCCCAAGAAAGAAAACATTGTCAAACACCCAGACGTCAGGCACAGTCCGCAAGGTACGCAGGTGCTCCAAGACCTGAGCCGAGCAACCCACACCGGACCAATATTGAATCTGAGCCGAGCTACCCACACCGGAAAACTACAGCAATACATGGGCATCAGCAGCTCCAGAACATCGTCCATGTGAGTTTAGTATGACTCTTGCTCGGCACGAATCACGAAGGCTATGGCGACTTTGTGATGATGGCCTTGATCTGTTTAACGTATCCACTCGAACAGACAGTTAACAAGCACTTGTTCACTTCATGCACATGTGTCTGCTCTGCTCGGAAAGACACGACAGTGATTCTTTCCGACAAGAAAACTCCGAACTTGTTTAAACGTTCAGAAGGCAATATACAAGGAAAGGCACCTTAGTCGGCAAACTTGCGTATGACCGCATCCACCTGTTCACAACGGTCTTCTTGGAGTTGCCATAGAGCTTCAGAAGTGATTTCCGAATCAGCTCCGGGTCGGCGCCAGTCACCCTTCTGCTAAACCTAGCCACCACGTCGAGCTTCTGCCAAACGCTGCTCATTCTGAACTTGTTCTGTGACTCATCATGCCGCAGTGTCTGCCAACCAACATGGGAATCGCGGTCATACACTGGAAAAGTGACTAAATCGACGAGGAGACCTGACAAGTTCAAAAGTGTTGACAGTCAGTCTGTGCCAGTCAATGGTGGTTGCATTGATATCGATATCCTGCCTTGTTCGTAAATCTTGGACAAGCTGTCTGGCATAGACACGTTCGGGTCAGCCACAGTCTCGTCACAATCGTAGAAATTCTGCAACTCAATCCTGGGGCATGTCACGTCTGAATCGAAATGTCAACACATCCGAAAGTAAAGCTTTAGCAACGAACTGTACAGGCTGAGGAACAACGCAGACACCGTTTGGTACCCGTCGGCCAAAAGACACAATCCGTTGGCATCCACCAGATCTTTTCCTGAGATGCAGTGTTGCACAGCTGAACGGTCACTGTTTTGGCATGCAGCTGGAAACACAGGCCAAGATGCCAGCCCCATCCACAAGCACTTGTGGCCGCGACAGCAATGACATGTCGTACTGGCCCGACCGAAACACCTCCATCAGCTCAACCACACGATCGTCGTCACGTCCTCTGAAGGACGAGACATCGGGGTCAAGAGATATGTCCTGCCACAAAGTCACAACGTGCAGACATTGACACGCACGCAAACAAAACCACCTCATGGAGACACACAAATCTCCTTCAGCTTGCGGAGAACACCGCATTGGACCGTTGTCTGGCCCTGAACAGGACAGGTTTTGGTAGTGGTGAAACTTCGAAGTCAAATTCCGCCCGGCCTCGTGAGTTTTCTCAACATTCACGACTTTTTTGCCCATGGCGCCGGACGTCGGCACTCTAATCAAAATCACCGACGAAGAGCCAGACACTTCAGCAACACAAGCGACATCAAATGAAATAGCTCCCAGCCAACAGGAACTGATCTGCACGAGCTTGTTGCACGATGAGCAGTGGGCCTAGGAAGAATGCACGGCCCCCGACGTGAATGCAAAGCCAGAACTGCGCGATCGGCAGGGCTCGGGGGTGAGTGGGTTTCCTGCAAATGAAACTCATGACAAGTGGCCCGCTGGCAATAGAAGTTCGTCGTTGTGATCCTTCCAGTCTTGACATGCCCCAAGCCCAGGCCCAGTTTGCACTGGAAGGGATCCCTGCGAAGATAAGCAGATCGGATTGAACGATAGCCGCCTGGGCGACGAAAGAGAGCAGCCGAGGTCAACGGGGGTGGGTCCCTCCAGATAAGCAAAATCGACGTGATGTGCGGAATGTACAGAGCAGCTGAGTCAACGGCCGCACCTGGGGGTGGGTCCCTGCCAAGATAAGCAGATCGGCTTGATTCGATTGTAGTCTGAGCTGGCTGATGTACAGAGCAGCTGAGTCAACGGCCGGACCTGGGAGTGGGTCCCTGCCAAGATAAGCAGATCGGCTTGATTCGATTATAATCTGAGTCTGAGCTTGGCCAATGAACAGAGCAGCTGAGTCAACGTGGCAGATGCGCAGAACATTGAAAGCTACGATAAGGCATGATGCAAACAACGAACCCCGCAGATAACCGGATCGAGTCGAAGTAGCTATATTCGGGGTCACGACAGCGACTCACTAGATCATTTGGCTATCGGCAAGATACATAATGCCTATGAATACAGCGACTCCTCATAAACAAACAAGCCTTCTCAACAACTGGACTCTGCAGATACCGACTTCGACTTGATCCAGGTATGTTGGGGGTTGGTCTGCTGCAGCACTTTGAAACTTGGCTTGATTGTCGCCTCTGGTCCTAGTCGGTGACGGGGCCCGGGTCGGTGAAACAGCAGTGGCTTCGTTGCGCTTCCATCGAAACTAGGCCATCGGTGCGTCGCACTTCCCGGCAGAAACACAGCTCAGGATACTCGCCAAAAATACTCCGACCTGAAAGATGTGCATTCCATTGCCTACATCACTGGGTGTCAGCCACTGCAAAGACACCTCGTCGACGGGAACTCCACTGGCACGTGCTATTGCAGGCAAGAGCGGGAAGCCACTGGCCACCAACAGTTCGTTGGGAATCAGCCACCGTTGAAGCATCGGAGACCACAGCAAGGCACTTCCATGACGGATGGTCGGGATCTGCCGTTTGGCACCCGAAGTCACCGGCCGGCGGTCTGGGTCCTGGCAGCAGTAGGCCAGCTCACACCTGCAAATTTGAAAGCACTCTACAACAGCCAACCATGGTCCTGGCTGAGATCGAACAGGCAGTTTTCATCGGTGCTCGGGTCGGTGCCGAGCTTTTCCTTCCAGAGCGACCTGTACCTGCTCTCAAAGTTTGCCTGGTTTCGTGTCAGGAGATATGCCCAAGACACACCAGACACGGTCACCGGCGGTGACATCTTCCTCCTAGACCTGGCTCGATTTTCTTCAATCACCAGCCACTGCTTTGGTGAGGCACGGCAAATATCCGCAATTGTCGGAGCACCGTGCAAAGCCATGTGCGCACGAAGCTGCTCACAGACAAACTGATAATTGTCAGCCACGTCCGTTCCAGGCAGAAGGCAGTCACGACGGACTAGCGCAAAATAAAGACGCGGACGCCTCACCACGGACCAGCCACAATCTTCTGGGCTGCTACGCACCTCCCATATGTGATACAAGCTTGCCAGATGCTCGTGTAATACACACAGGCCTGGAAAACCTTCAGTATTTTCGTGTGCTGCCCACAAAGGTTTTCTTCGGGCAATCAATGCACACCAAATGAGAAAAGGCAGTGAGCGCTCGTCTCTCCAGCCCAAGGCACGAGGATTAAAGCGAGACCAGGGTTGACAAGGACTGCCAGACACGTCTCCTTCGAAGAAAGGACTTCCGCATATGTCGTGCCCGCTGTGCCAGCATCGGAGATGACCAAACCTCAAAAGACCCACAATCTTCTGATACCTTTCCTGCCAAGACAATCTGGAAAGCACCTTCCACGTAGGCAAGCCTGGACAGTAGTCACGCATGTCTCGAAACACGCAGCCATGACCTCTGGCAATCAACACATTGGCACAGTGCCGACTGGAGTCACAAGCAGCCACGAACCGTAGAGGCATGGCACCCTGAACACCTTAGCCGAACGACTGCGAACTGAGCATAGGTAATCGAAGGCAACATTGTAACATTGCATGCTGTAATGCTGCAAGGCACTGGCTGCAACTGCATTGTGCAGCAGGTTTGCTGCCACTTCGACGCAGCCCACACCGGAAAAGTGGGTTGTTGCAGCACAGCCACGGGCCAGCAAGGATTGACTCACAAGATCATACCCTCTCAGCTCTTGAATATGAGACACTGCCATGTACATCACACGAAATGCCGTGACCAATGCCACAGGGGTTGCAACGTCAACGGCAGTGTCTTGATTCCCTGCTTCTGCCAGGAGAAGGCACTCAGCATCACTTCCGCTGTCGGCCAAGTCCATGCCAGGTTTTATGCTGCAGTCACTGACTAAAGCATCTTGAGATAATAAATAGTCACTGCGACCGATACAAAACATGAACATTGCCATCCATAACACTGCCGGCATAAAAATGACAAAATAAGTACAAGGGCTGACAGTTTTTTCTGACGCAGCAGCAGCTTGTCGGGTGGCTGGACTGAGAAATTAAAAAGAGCAAGCGCCTGTCAGTCACAAATGACTATATAACTGAATGCACTGCTCATAGCCAGCGAACAATTCCAAAATCACAATGGGTCCAATGACTCAGCACCTGTCAGTGACAAATGACTAGCTGAATACACTGCTGATGAAAGTGAGTAGCCAGCAAACCGTTCAAAACCGAGCACCTTTCGATGAGCCCAATGACTCTGTCACTGTCAGTCTAAGCACAAGCACAAAGGGCCCAATGACTCAGAGACTCGAGTAAATAGAATTACTGAGACACGACTTGGGTTTCGGAAGGTTTGTCATCCGCTTCCAGCTTATCGTCTTTGGAGCCACTCTCACGTGAGGCACTGTTCTTCGACACTGGAGCAGTCACTGGGGGGGCAAGCGCTGGGGAAGCCACTGAATCTGCCGCCGCAATCCTAGCCCGCTTGCGTTCCAAATCCCTTTCGATCTCCTCCTTTTCGTTCATGATTTGTTCCCTTTCGCAATCCAGCATGTCCAGTCGGTGGTTCAAGCTCTGCACGGTCTCCTCCATGTTCAAGACACGCTTCTTGGTCAGCCACTGAGCAAAATCTTCTTTCTCAGACACGTGGATCTCCACCTTGACCACAATCTCGTTGGGCTGTAGAACATCAGGCACAGGTGAGCTCTGATGCCAAAAGTCCTTGGTTTCAGTCACGTAGCAGCCCTAAGTACAACAGAAAACTGAACAATTAAAAGCTCATGTCAAGGAGCCGCAATCGGGCTTGTGAAAGTGTCGACATGCACCATGCCACTAGGCAAGGTTGGTGCATTGAAGTGGTGGACTCGCAGCCTGCAGAGAAAGCATTTGCCATTACGGATCCTTTAACACTTCTGAGGTGAAACTTCAGGAGAAGCCAGGTGGCTCGGTCGACTTGCCATCTGCAAGCACGAAACCCACGAGAGCTGCCGCACGTTGGGTGGAATAGTACATGTCCTGGGAAATTCAGAGTGGATGCAGATCCAGTCTCTGTCGATCAGATCAGTCAGCAAGGTGTCCTTCGGTTGATAGCCTGTCTTTGTAAGCACCGAGTTCTTCAGGATCATGTGACATGCCATGTTCTGATCCGTGGGATCCACATGCTGATAGAAGTTCCAGGCACCTCAGAACAATACCCACATGCACACCAAAAAAACACACGGACAAGTGCTGAACGATTTAGTGAGCGAGCAAGGAACGTTCCACAGCCACTTCGGCCACTCCCACAGAAGTGGTGAAGAGCTCGATATTGAAGTAGGCCACCTTGCTCAGGTCATCCAGCGGCTTCAACGTCCGGAAGAAGCTGCCTGGTGAGCCCCCGCAGTCTTTGCCGAGACTGAGCTCCTTGTTTTGAACTGCCTGTTGCGGATCAGAACAGTGTACGACGACACACCCAAAGGCACGGGCACTCAGCAAGGCACTGGCACGTTTCCACTGCTGTTGTCTGTGAACTTTGGCACTCATGGGAACTCCGTCGGAAAGTTTGAAGCCCAACCTGAGGCACGAAAGTATCAGTCAATGAAGACGCAGCCAAAAAACACAAAAGACAGTACAGACCCAGCAGCTGCCGCGCTTCCGCACGCACGGACTTGGCTAGGGCCTCCTCCACTGTCTCATAGAAGCTTCCCGAACAAGTGCGAGCATGGCCCACGAGGTAACCGACGAGGACCATGATGAAGGCAAAGACACCGAGGTCACGGACAACGACGCGGAAAACACACCAATCACTAAGCTGGTTGCTTGAAAACGACACAGGCCCAGACATGCACGTTATCAAATTGAGAGATGTGCTCAAGATGGAAGCAACACAGACCATATCGCGCAGCACACCTGATTCCTTTTTTCTGTGAGTTAGCAGTCGTCGCGTCCACAGTCGTGCCCGCATCCACAGACACTGACAGAAATGGACCTGCCCCAGTAAGACACTACCGCCTGATGGTCCATGTCTCACAAGAAATAGAACTCAGCTGTTACGCTCTTGACCAGAGTTGTCGTCGTTCACAGTCACATCGAAATCCTTCAGGTCCATGGGCTCCTGACGGTGTGTGAGTGTGCGCGAATGGCAAAAGCACTCCCTCACAGGCTTCTGTCTTTACGTGTATAACATGGCCCATCCTTCGTAAAAGGCGGCTTCCTGGCCATTGTCAGGGACCAATTGCCACTGGAAGCAGACACTGTCATGCACTCTCGGACGTAGTCGTTCTGTTCCCGATAGGATCGTTCCAGGTCTTCGTAAGCTGAACGTAGACGTCTGAGCCTAGGCTGCAAAAACACCCAAGTAGCGGAGGCAACCGCAGCACATTTCACCCTCGACAATGAAGCCTAAATCCCGTAACTCTCAAGCCTTAGACAAGTCGCTTTTTCAAAATTTCTTGAACCCACGGGTGATCCTCGACGTCCATGATTATGTTGCCATCCGATGCCATTCGACGCAGATCGGTTTCATAACCTGTTCCAGGCACTCTAAGCTCTCTTAGACTAGACTCTTCGCAGTCACAGGCATGGCCGCTTCTCTCTTCACGCCTGGTTCTTTCTTGACTGTCGGAGTCACCCCCGGCTCTCTCTTCACAGACACGCCCTTCTCACTCTTGATTTCCACCTCTGGCTCCTTTAACGGCAAGATGAGGAAGGTGCCTGGCACAACAATGAATCAAAGCATTGCAAGACAATAGGCCCTGAGCCCTGCCTGGTGGAAGATGCACACGTGGTCGGCAGCAATCCTTTCGATTCTTCTTTTCATAGTCGGCCTTTTGTCTGTGACGATGACGAGCTTTGCCTTTGACTTTAGCCTTGGCCTGAGCCTTGGCTTTGGCCTGTGCCCCCCCTTGCCCATTGCACTGCCGAAGAGGCACTTTCTGCGGGCACACAGTGAAGTTTCTTTTAAACAAGTCACTGCACATCATTGCTGACTCACTCTACTACACGGCTCTCCCACAACATTGTGACATGGCATATAATTTAAGCCACTGGGACGGCTACTGGCACTGACCACAAGCGACAGTCACGCTCAAGGAGTGCCACTCGCAGACAGACAGAGCCAGCAAAACTTTCTCAGCAACAAAATCTGCAGACCGCCTGTCAAAAAGATCTCCAGCAAATCCCAGGTCTCACCTTGGCGCACAAACTCAGGCACATGTTTCAAAAGAACAGTAGTCACTACACAACGACGTGCTGAGATGCTTCGTGGGTGTGAGTGCCAAGACGAACGCTCATGGCGAATCAAATCAACGCAAACTGGCTGTGCGAATATGTCTGCATGGACATACGCTCCACGCTAGCTGAGAGGACTGCAAAGGATGTGCATGGTTCCAACTCGGCAACTGAAATTATATTAGGGTACTACCGGAAAAAAACCTAGCACACAATACGTTCGAAGCCTAAAAGCCCCGATCCAACGCCATGACCAAGGTTGCACAACTAGTCACACTGCCTTTGCCTTTGTAACAGAACGCAGCAGTGAACATACACAGGGCCGCCAAACACATTATGATTCTGTCGAACAGTCAGCTCAGCTACTAACCACTCGTCATTGCCGTACTCGCAAGTCACAACTCCTCCTTCAGATTGCAGCCACCCTGTCAAACGACATGCGCTTGTCGTCCCGTCTTTGCCAATGATCGCCGTGAATTGTTCTTGCGCCAGTCACGTTCAAATAAATCACTCTTCCTGGACTGCTTATCACCCAGCACAAGTAGTCGCACTGGTGGTTTTGGTGGTAGTAGTAGTAGTAGTAGTAGTAGTTGTAGTAGTAATAGTAGTAATAGTAGTAATAGCCATATAAGCAGCCATAGTCATTTTAATAATAATAACCATAGTCTTATTATAGCAGTTAGCCCGGACGTCGGGTACCCGACGCGCGGTTACATCGTGCATTGCTGTTGTTAATTAGTTATTAGCTTTTTTCTTGCATCTGCAGGCGTCGGGTCCGACCCCAGGACGTCGGGTACCCGACGCACGGTTACATCGTGCATTGCTGTTGTTAACGCTGGCTATTAGCTTTGTTCTTGCATCTGCAGGCGTCGGGTACCCGACGCCCCGACGTCGGGTACCCGACGCACGGTTACATCGTGCACCACTGTCGTTAATGCTGGTTGTGAGCTTTGTTCTTGCAATGTGCAGATGCAATGCCAATAATACTATGAGTACTCATGTATTAGTAATATCAGTCGTACTTAGCCACATTAAATACTAGTATCTAAGCATCCACCATGTAATCGCGCGTCGGGTACCCGACAACCGGGCGTCGGGTACCCGACGCCTGTGGATATGTTCATTCAGACGCAGCGCCAAAGAAAATGGTAATAGTCTGTAATGGTAATAGAAGTAGCAAAAGAAGTAGAAGTGGTAGTAGTAGCTTTACTACTACTACTACTTCTACTACCATTACTACTATTACTATTTTCTTTGGCGCTGCGTTTGAACATGTCCACAAGCGTCGGGTACCCGACGCCCGGTCGTCGGGTACCCGACGCAACACCATTATATATAGTGCATGCTTAGATACTTGTGACTAGTACAACTCAAATCACTAATACAAAAATATTCATACTATTATTGGCATTGCATCTGCAATGAACAGGCGTCGGGTACCCGACGCAGGAACACATGGTACATGCATGCATAAATACTACTATTACAGCTCACAAATTACTAATACAAGAATAGCTTGATTAATAGTAACAACAGCAATGCACGATGTAACCGTGCGTGGGGTACCCGGGGTCCGGGTGTCGGGTACCCGACGCCTCCATTCCTACCATTACTGCTTAACTACTACTACTTCTACTACTACTACTATTGCCGCTACTACTACGACGACTGCTAATTACAACTACTACGACTACTACAACTAGTACTACTACTACTTCCATTTTTACTAGTAGTAGTAGTAGTAGTAGTAGTAGAAGTAATACTAGCAGTAGAAGTCGGAATATTGAGCAGTAGTCGTAGTAGCAGTCGCAGTAGTAGTAGTGTAGTATGAATGCAGGCGTCGGGTACCCGACGGCCGGACGTCGGGTACCCGACGCATGCTTACATCGTGCATTGCCGGCTGAGCCACTACTTCAAGACGCCAGGCGGCTTCATAATGCAGTGCTGCCGTTGCTTTATTATTTTTTTACTGACAATAATTCTTCCATTATGATAAGTAATATGAATAATACATATTCGCGAATAGAAACGACTGCTACGATGTATTAGCTTTGCTTTTAATATTGTACCAGTAGCAGCAGCACAATTGCTGCTAAACTCATTAGCGGGCGTCGGGTACCCGACATCCGGGCGTCGGGTACCCGACAGCTGTGTACTTGTTGCTGGAAGGAATAGTAAGAATAACCCGACGCCAGTGGAACTGCTGCAGCAATAGTAGCAGTCTGTACTAATAACACTAACAAATAGTAAAAAGCATGCACCTTTGCAGTGCACCGTTATCAACAATAGCGCTGTAGTATTCGTAATGACCATGCAAACTTGCGTCGGGTACCCGACATCCGGGCGTCGGGTACCCGACAGCTGTGTACTTGTTGCTGGAAGGAATAGTAAGAATAACCCGACGCCAGTGGAACTGCTGCAGCAATAGTAGCAGTCTGTACTAGTAACACTAACAAATAATAAAAAGGCATGCACCTTTGCAGTGCACCGTTATCAACAATAGCGCTGTAGTATTAGTAATGACCATGCAATCTTGCGTCGGGTACCCGACGCCTGTGAACATGTTCAAATGCAGTGCCCGTAGCTTTTACTTATATATTAATAATAATATATAAGTAAAAAGGCATGCATCATCGGCCACCCGACGCCTGTGGATAGTTAGTAGCAGTAGTAGTAGTAGTAGTAGTAGTAGTAGTAGTAGTAGTAGTAGTAGTACTAGGAGTAGTAGTAGTTGTAGTAGTAGTAGGAGTAGGAGTAGGAGTAGGAGTAGTAGTAGTAGTAGTGGCAGTAGTGCTGCTAGTCTAGTAGTTGTGGTAGTACTAGCGGTAGTGTAGAAGACGAACAAGCAGTAGGCAGTGCCAGTCGTCCAAGTAATGTAGTAAGTAATAAGAAAAGAGTCGCATCGCAACAGTAAACATCCTAACACAGTGACACCACCGATCCTTTCATTTATTTCAGACACATGCCGCTAGCAAGCAATCCAAAAAAGTCATGATGTTGAAAATCTGAATCCCCAAACCCCGAATTGAACCTTATGCTGCCTAAATTACATAAGTCCTAAGTTAAGTCTAAGTCCGACAGCTTGCCATGACTGACTGGCTGAGCTGGCGGCATTGGCAGTCCACAGGCGCGATTCCCAGTCACTGTACCTGATTGACTTGCAAGATAGGTAGTCTGCGAGCTTCGATCTGACAACACGTTGCACTCACTGAGCACAGCACACGCACGAGGAGTCCAACTGGAATTGCCTGGCCCACGGTGAGCTGAGCTGACAGCATTGATGAAATCACTGCAAATTTGATAGACTAGATGCACGCTTGGAGCAGTGTTTTGTCTCTGTCGTCAAGGTCGCTTTGCGACGATTGGCTGGAGCCGCTGTGGCACACAGCTATTCTTAAAGCACCAAGTGGATATGGTCGCCTGGACTGCAGTTCATCACATTGCAGTTCGTCGTAAGTCAAAGTAGTCTTAGTCACTCTGTACGAGTTTTAATAAGCATAAACACTCAGACTCAGAGTCACTGCACAGACCAGGCACCAACCACAAGGAGCTTTGACGGGGGCCGCTCAGGCACAGTGACCAGGCAGCCACCCTCACCAAGTGTCCCAAATGCTGGGTGGCTTAGCCACAGGATCTGCTGTGTCAGGCACAGTGCTGTCAGGCACAGTGCTGTCAGGCACATCAGGCACATCAGGCACATCAGGCTGCTGCGGCACAGGCTGCGGCCATTCCCATTCAGTGGCACGCTGCCCATGCTGGTTCCACTGCCGGCCCCACCCATCAGAATGCCCATGCCAGTTCCAGTCACGGCCACGCCAGCCATCCCATTCCCAGCCCCAGGCACGCTCAGACCAGGCTGGTGACCAGCCAGACCAGGACTGCCAGGCCTCCTCCGCCCTCTGCCTGTCCTCCTCCGCGGCGCTGTGCCTCGCCGTATCCGCGGCACTCTGCATGGCCTCCTCCTCTGCGGCCCGTCGTCTGGCCTCCTCCGGGTCCTTATCTGCACCAAAGCATTCATCAATGGGCCCTGTGAAGCACCCCTCCTGAGCACGGTACCACTCAGCTTGGTTAGCGTACTCCTGCTCACTGAAAAGATGATGCCGAGGCTCGGTTGAGCGGCGTTTCGTCTGGCCTCCTCTGCCGCCCTCCGCGTGGCCTCCTCCTCTGCGGCCTTTCGTCTGGCCTCCTCCTCTGCCGCCCTCTGCCTGGCCTTCTCCTCTGCGGCCTTCTGCCTGGCCTCCTCCTCTGCGGCCTTTCGTGTGGCCTCCTCCTCTGCGGCCTTTTGAACCTCCTCCTCTGCCGCCTTTTGTCTGGCCTCCTCCTCGGCCTCCTTCTGCTTCTCCTCTGTGTACCACTGGTCCCAACGCGCATCCCACGCAGAGACCGGCTCCGACTGCGCAGGCACCGTGTCATCCCACGCAGAAACCGGCTGTGACTGGGCAGGCATAGTGTCATCCCACGCAGACACCGGCTCCGACCGGGCAGGCATAGTGTCATCCCACGCAGACACCGGCTCCGACCGGGCAGGCATAGTGTCATCCCACGCAGACACCGGCTCTGACTGCCCAGGAAACACCAAGGGCACCTCGGCAGGCACCTCGGCAGGAAACACCAAGGGCACCTCGGCAGGCACCTCGGCAGGCACCTCGGCAGGCACCGTGGCAGGCGCCGTGGCAGGCACCGTTTCAGGCACCGTTTCAGGCACCGCATCTGCGCCATCTTGAGGAGTCCCAGTCCCAAACACGGGGGTGCGGTCAGCCTTGTTTTGCTTCCACCGGCGTGGGGCATCATCGGCCGTTGTGGACTCCTCCTGCGACTTTGATTGCCAGGGCCAGCCACCACCCGACGGGGATTCATAGTCCGTGTCCTCTCCCTCCGACCAAAATTCCACTCTCGGTTCTGGTTTCTTCGAGGCACTGGACGACCCCGCCGGGTGGCCCTCATTTGTCTGCACCCATTCACAAAGCTCACGCCAGTACTTGCAGATGACCTGGGCTGTACTGTGGTTCTGGGACCCCTTAAACTAAATAAAAATTTATGAATATGTAAGGGAAATTAAACAATGTCCCAAAGTGCCACATCGTCACCTTGCTGATGTCGAAGAGGACGCGCCCGTAGCCACTGTTGCCACTCTTCTTCTCATTGTGGCGCATCTGCCCTGAGTCTATGTTGCAGTCAACACTGTTTGTTTAGTCTATTCGCACTGCCGGCTGAGTGCCTGCAAGGGGCTGTGAACACGAGGCAGCAGCTTGAGGGCATGCGGATACAAATCCTTGTCCTCAAGCATCGACTGCACGGCCTCAAAGCAAACAAGAGATGCAATGGCTAGTCACGTGTCCGGTAAGTAAACAAAGTGCATGCAAACTAGATCTGAAGTTTTGCGGTCCAGTCACCATCCACGCATACGGATCCACCTTAAGCCTTCGAAGACAGTAGTGCCAGGCTGGGTTCATGACCTTCACCCGCTTCTTCACCTGGGCTGTTGCTAGACGGTTTGCCATTCACACACGGCGACCGAAAACTGTGCAGTGAATCTGAATGCAAGTGCAAGTCACCAGATCCAAATCACTCTCTTGAAAAGAACCAGGCGCCGGAGCCATGCCAGGCACAGGACCAGGCACAGGACCAGGACCAGGCACAGGACCAGGCATAGTACCAGGCATAGGAGCAGGCACAGGACCAGGGTGACCAGGCACAGGAACCGCACCAGTAGGCATCGGGCCAAGCCCCGGAGCGACGCCGAATTGCGGCACTGGAGGCGGCGGAGGTGACGCCCAATAGTAGCCCGTAGCCATTTGTGCTCGCGCCAACAAATCCGAGTGGGTCAGGGTGCTGTCGGCTGGCATATCTGTAGGCAGCCAGATCTATAGGCACCCAGGCACTTGACAGACAAATGCCGGTGGCAGATGCGGCAATTTGCAATGCACTCGCTCATGCTGAAGCTGACATGCAGACAACTCAATCGTGGCAGCAGTGCCTGGAACTCGGTCTGCTGATGCCGACTGCACTGCCAATCGTGAGTGAAGGAAGCCTCAATGGGCACACTGCTAGCACACTCCGCCATCCTAGCAGGCACTCATCACCAAGATGGACGAACTGACAAATGAGCCGAAGACAGACACCTCAGAGTGCGAGTGGACCTTAGGACAACAGGCTGCGGTTTCGGATCGACATGAAAAGAGCACGGGTGGGACCAACGCAAACAACTGACAATTCGTCACGTGTATATATGTAATAGACACATGCACACACGCCCACACAGACACACACACACACACACATATGACCACACACTCACATAAACACTGCAGTTTACAAGGCATTTTATCCGAGTTTCACAAATGTCAACACGATGAGGACATTCACAAGTCAGGTATTGTTAGCTGTTACACACGCTTGGCCGCGTGACATGCGCGAATCACTCCTGGCATCGAGAAACTCAAACGCTTTATGCGCGTTTCGCAGTAGCACGGCACAGCTACCTAAACACGGCACTTCAAACACACTGCCAACAGGGCGATGCCTAAACAAACACGCTACCAACGCCATGATGCCATGCGCAAGTCACGTTGTCCCAACCCTGACAAAAAAAATTTCCCTTCCCTTTTCAGACACAGATTGTCGCACTGCGGTCATGCAAGAATGGCTGCATCAAGGCAAAGTAGTACACAGCGATATTTGTTCGGCCACGTTGTGAAACATACACAATCATGGTCGCATGACATGCGCGAATCCCTGACCGACAAACCCAAACGCTTTAAACTTTCTCCGTGCTTATTTGTTAGTGTCGCAGTAGGACGACGCAACTTCTGCGCAGCTGCACAATCAAACGTAAGTATAACAGTCACTGCCACACCGACCCGTGTAATGTTTGTACGAAATTAACACACCCGATGTGTGAAGTTAGTACGTGCAGATTTCCTGATGACCTCATTCGCTGTCAGACACAAGTAACTCATCAGTTAGCAGCCACACATAAGCTGTTCTCTTTGATCAACGTAGAACCTCCTGGTTTACGCACCCAGTAGCCTATATTGCTGGCATCACGGACGCTGCAATACTGACCGGCACATGCACCTAACTACGCCGGGTATCCCTTCATTAGGCACTACGACGAGAGACTCCTACTGGTCCAGCACTCGTGCTACTTCTTGTGACTGATGCCATGCTCAGCTTTGAACAGTATTTGACATGAACCAAAACCTCACGAGAGCCCGCTTCTGAAATTGCTAGAAACTGTGGAAACCCTTCTAATTAAATAACACAGGACAAAAATGTGGGAGTCAAGTGCTGCTGTTGGCTCTCAAACACCTCTTGAAGATCCCTCAACCCAACGTAAGCCTAATCACACTCACGGCGGCTCCGAGCTCGAGTGTTCGCTGCACTCTCAGCTCAGGGCATGGGCAATCACTGTCTTGAATGGAGTACCTGGAAAAGCACAGTGACTTTGAAGAATGCAAGCTTGAAGCATTGTAACTTCATATAGGTCACCGATTGAGGTCATGGCTAGCCACACGGAGTCAAACAAATAAGTCACCGCACCTGGTCCAGTCCAGGTCAAAGATTGTATTCTTGGACTCAAAAGAAATTCAAGAAATCAGGTCAGCACGAGTGCATGATCTGATAAGTTAAGCCGAGTCATCAAAGCAGGACAGGAACTCGAGCTGCACTGAAGCCGGACTGAGATCAGGACACGGACCACAGCGAGTCGGCCATCTTGCTGCAACAAGCCACCTGGGCAAACGCAGGAAACTTTGAGTTTTGAAGCTCCCAGCACATTAGCCCAAGCCCTCGACAATGGAGTCTCCTTGGCAGGCACTGACCTGGGCCGTCAGACTCTGAGAGACACACGACTTTGTTCGTTTGAGCATCCGTGACTGGGTAACCTGCGGCTGTATCGCCATAGGCCCTCGCACAGTCACAGTCACGAAGCTGGCACAATCATAAGTTAGAATGCACAAGTAGAATGCTGCAACTACACAATCTGCACCCGCTTTTGCACTCTGAATGCAGCTGAATGTCTTTTTTGTAAAGTGTCAGGTGTCACACCTTCGCATCAATCACTGACTGACTCCTGAAGCTGAAAGTGAAGGATCTGACTGAATGTTTGACTTATGTTACTCCCGGGCATTAAATTAAAGTAAGGTGTGCCCCGAATCGTCATTGGATTCAATGACGAGTGTTATCGTGTGAAAATGACAAAGGCACCCAGACGCACGGGAAGATCTACAAACGATTCCCAAAGTATAATCGCAACTGAGATGACTGGAATATGTTTTATCCCTAAGTCCCACGTGCGGGTGCTCCTTTGCCTCCTTGGCCTTTGCCAGGCTCAGGCGGGCCCAAAACAGTTGGAGGCCCCTTAGGCACCAACGGCACAGTCACAGGACCTGCGGGTGCTCCTTTGCCTCCTTGGCCTTTGCCAGGCTCAGGCGGGCCCAAAACAGTTGGAGGCCCCTTAGGCACCAACGGCACAGTCACAGGAGGCACCAACGGCGGCTTCGCAGACATCAATGGGACCACAGTGCGAACTCCAGGTACGTTAACAGGTGGCCTAGGAGGTGGACGAAGGCCACCAAGGCACGCACCGAGGCCAGGCGCAGTACCAACACCAGGGCAGGGAGGCAAAGTCCCACCCAGGCACGAAGCACCAGCCAGAGGCACTGTCCCACCCAGGCACGAAGCACCAGCCAGAGGCAGTGTCCCACCCAGGCACGGACCACCAGCCAGAGGCACTGTCCCACCCAGGTACGGACCACCAGGCAGAGGCAGCGAAGTACCACCAAGACCAGCCAAAGGCACTGATGCAGCAAGGCACGAACCAGGAGCCGAAGCCGCAAGGCACGAACCAGGAGACACAGGCACTGATGCTGCAGGCACTCCAGGCACTCCAGGCACTCCAGGCACTGGACCTGGAGGCTGTGAAGAGGCACTAGACCCAGTACCACCACCCGGACCTCGAAGACGGCATTCATACTCACCTGTCTGCCAGAACTTTAGCATTTCGTCTGCTGTAGAACGCGCCAGCTTCCCCTCAGCCACCTGATGCATCAAGAATGTCTGTGCCGTAGCCACCGCGCGGGTGTCTTTGAGATTGATATTCTCATTGACTGTCCGCATGATGGTCGCAGCCATGGCTTCCTTTGGACATAAATACAAACAACAAGAACTTATCTCCCACTACTGACTGATTTCTCAAACCCAAATCAAAAAAAACAACACCAGGCAATAAATACCCAAGTGGCGAGTGCCTGTGCTGTTTCCATCGGCGGTGGAGCAGGCACCGCAGACACCGCAGGCACCGCAGGCACAGCAGGCACTGCATGAGGCTCAGCAGGCGCATGCACCTCCGCGGCCACAGCCACAGGCCTGGCCTTGGGCGCTGCCCGTGTCGACGAGGCACCACCGCCACCGGCCAACCTTCTTTTATTATTCCACAGCACCTTGCGCTGCTTGTTGCTGAGTTCTTCTTCTCCGTCTCCTGCTGCTGGTCTGTGAATTTTAATAAACACAAACAGGTCAATACTAAAATTAATAAGCCTTAACCCCAAAGCCTGCATTCCCCTTTTAAAGTGAATTCTCTTCATAACTTCAGGTCCTGCGTCAGGCACTCGGCGGGTTCCAGCAGCCACAGGACGAGGCACAGCTTTTGAAGTTGGCTGCAGTCTTCTAGGAGCTGTGGAAGCCGATGCCTTCGCCCCCGATTCCTCCGATTCCCGTACCTCCGCCTCCGCCGCGGCTGCAGCCGCGGCCTCCTTCTCCTTTTGCTTCTGCTTCTGCTGGAAGCGGGTCATGGCTGGCAGGGCACGAGCTTGACAAACGTGTTAATTAAGTAAGCACTCGGATAGCTTACGGTTGTCTGGGCTTGGGCACTACTACATTCACGTCTAGTTGTTCATGACGCTGTGACACAAATCGGGCTTGAACACTGAAGTCACTGACGGCAATTCGAAGTTGCTCTTGGCACTGTGACTGTGACGACACTGAGACACTCGATGAAGGTGCACTCTGCGCCTCTGCACACAGTCACAGCCGTCGACGACGAAAAAGATCTTCAGACCTCGCGAAAGGCAGGAGTTCTATTTACGATTGAGCCCTCTGCATGCAGCCGTCCTCCAAAGCCACTGTTGACAGGGATGAAGGCCTCGAAATG